CCTTTGAGTGAGAACCTGTCGTGCGATGGGGACATCGCATTTTGAGTGAGGGGAAGGTGTGCCATCTACCGATGAAACAACATGCAGAAGAGAAAATACTTGTGCAATCAGCTTTGCATAGGCTTGAGAAAGAAGTCTAGCAAAATGCTCAGAAGAGTAAAGATTTGTGTAATCGGCTTTGCATAGGCTTGAGAAAGAAGCCTGGCAAGATGCCCAGAAAAGAAAAGACTTGTGTAATTGACTTTGCATGGATGTGAGAAAAAGACTGGCAAGATGGAAAATGGATGAGTAATTGACTTTGCATGGGCTTGAGAAAGGCCTGGCAAGATGTCCAGAAGAGAGATGCATAAGGAATGAACTGAGTATCTCGCATGTGAAGTTAATTCAAATGGATGCAAAAAAGGACGAAAAAGGGTGATATGCATGCGAAATTGGCAGGGCTAGAGAAACGCCAGACAAAATAACCTAGGAGAAATGCATGTGGATTTGGCTGGGCTTGAGCTTGAGGGAATAATGACAGAAAGCATGGATTGCACAGGCCAAAGGACCCAAATGCAAGAAGCATTAAGAGTGACGAAAAGCATGGATTGCAAGGGTCGAAGAACCCAAATGAAAGAAGCATTGAGAGTGACGGAAAACATGGATTGCACGGGCCGAAGAACCCAAACGAAAAAGGCATTAAGAATGATGGTAGCCGAAAATGAACCTGGCTCGTATGGAATGAGAAGAGAGAAGCATGAAAAAGGTTCTTTGACTCCCCACACCCTCCTCCATCCCAAGGGGCGGAAACTAAAGAAAACTCTGAGAAAGGAACGGGGAAAGGACAAAAAAACCCTGACAAGTTAACTACCCGTCTCACCCCACCCCCTCTTCCCCTCCGTCCACCCCTCCAAAACACCCTACTGGCTAAGGACTGGTGCGCGATGAGGAGATCGCGAATGAGTAGGGGGAATGTATCGGGACCGGTGGGTCCCGAGATAAGTCCTGTCCGTCAAGAGGCGGTATACCGCAGAGTTGTGCACGGCAGAGAAAACCAGAGGCAAGAAGGATAGAGAATGCTAAGTACTGGTGCTGGGGGACAGGGAGGCTGCCCAGGTCGCCAGAGTTACGGGGCCAGGGAAGGATTAGCGGAAAGGCGAGCGGCAAGAAACCGCAAGAAAATAGCAAAGGCGACCGTTTCCCCGAAAAGGAGAAGGACCGCCGGAAAAAGTAATGTCATGGGTCGCGCGCCGCAAGGGGAAAAAAGGGGAGGAAAGTGTAGTAAGTAAGGTGCCGGCGTGTGAAGTCGTAGCCCGGGCCAAGAGGGTCACCGGGACGTAACGTCAAGACGGCCAAGGGGTCACGAGCCAAGCAAAAACCCGCATCCGGGGAAAGCGGCGCACGGGACATGAGAAGGACAAAGGGAGGGAGGCCGCCATAGGACGGGAAAACGTCAAGGGAACTCGGGGACCACCGGCGGGATAAAATACCGACGGGACCATTGGCGGGACTAGTGTCAGGGATCAGCGCGGGAAAGTGGCGGGGACTTGTGATGCCCCAAGGAAAAATTGAGGCATACCGTGAGGCGCAAATAATTAAAGAAAGATGCGCCGTCAAGATCGAGGATCTTGACGGCCAATTATATTAGCACCACTAGCGTGAGCATTAGTGGGAGCAAGCGGGAGCGTCAAAAGAAAAAGGAAAGCAAAGAAAACTTGGAGGTAGAGGCATAGGAGCAATCCGAAAAATCTCGGATTGGGTTCCCCCAAGAAAATGAAACCAAAAGAGACTCCATGAAAAAAAATAGACCTCCCGGAGAAAATCAGAATATGGGGGCCTACCGTTTGGAAGAGATAGAGGCAAACGGAGGCTCCCGTGGGCATGGAAAGGCCACAAGTGCAGTCCGAGAAATAACAGCCTGACCCTTGAGCATAGGAAGGGCCAAAACTAAGAGGAAGAGGCTAGAAAAGGGCCTTAACGGCCATTTGACACTTGGCATGCACATAAAAGAAAGAAAACAAAAAGAAAATGTGGGGGAATAAAACAAAAAGAGTGAGAGGGAGTGAGTGAGTTGGTCGTCAGTAGGGACTACCACAAGTAGGGACTAATAGGTCCCTACTGTCCAAGAAAGGAAGAAAAAGAAAAGAAAAGAAAAGAAAAAGGAGAAAATGGCCTTAACGGTTAGTTGACACTTAGCATGCAAAAATAAAAATAAAAAAAAAATGGAGGTGAGAGGGAATGAGTGAGCTGGCCGTTAGTAGGGACTGACAAGGAGGAACTGGCAAATCCCTACTGTCCAAGAAAAAGGGGGGGAAAAGAAAAAAAAAAGAAAAAAAAGAAAAAAGAAAAGGGCCTTAACGGCTAGTTGACACTTAGCATGCAAAAAAAAAAATAAAAATAAAAAATACAAAAAAATGAAAAGTGAGAGGGGATGAGTGAGTTGGCCGTCAGTAGGGACTGCAACAAGTGGACTGACAAATCCGCACTATCCACAACTGGGAAAAAAAA